TGTTCCGTCAATGCATAGGTGAGTGCTGCCCAGAGTGCGTGGAATAATCATGTTAACGGTTCATTTTTGAATTAACTCTCGGTGGCTCAGCGACGTAGATATGTGTTTAATGGCAGATATCCATCTTTAGCGCTAAATTTGGTGGTTGCACTTTAGGCCCCCCGTGTTGCACATTGTGGGGTAACAGAGAGAAGGAGATACATACACACACTCCAGACATAGTACCATAACCCTCATTGCCCATGTGCAGGAAGGGTTAATTAAACTCACTGTCCAGGTCAGATTAACATTTGCTCCATTCTTCAATAGAACGTCAACTGTCTGCTTGTGTCCATTCTGACAGGCCGCATAGAGTGGAGTAGCACCATTCTGAGTATAGGAGAAAGTGTGACAGAGAGATATACAGGAGAAAGTCAAATGTGTCATAATTGTGCAGAGAGATGTCAAGAGAGAGCAGTCATACAAACACTCATACAAGAGAAATACAAGCACGTACATCATAGGACAAAATATCATTTGGTTGTCCCTCCAATTTGTCCTATTTTTATATTACAATGCAAGGCCCACAGGTATATTGAGTACCGCAACCCTTGCTGTGTATATATGTGTGCATAATGACAAGTGACAAGCACATGATGGGGACACTCAGATCTGCTCATGGTGACAGGTGGAGCAGTGAGTTGGTGTAGCGAGACCAGTTCTGGCTCTCTGACTGATTGACCAAGGCAAGGAAACACTTAGAGATGTGGCAAGGTATTGACTTCAGCTGAGCCATCAAAAATTGTCATACCTTCTTTATTATACATCCAATTGCAAAAGCGCTAAAATCATTGGAGTCCCTGCCATTTTTCTGTTCTAATGATATGCCTGACTGCGTTATAAACCTATCAGTCAAAAGTTAGCTATATTATGTCCCACAAGAAAACTATGCCTAAATAAAGGATGCTGTATCAGCATAGAAAAAACCACTTGCTGGGCTCAGGTGAACGCAAATAGACTAAAGTGCTATATTGTGCTGGGTGAGGAAGGATTTCTATTAGTCGTTTTTCATAGGAATAGTGTAGCAATCCTGTGATCAACCAATCAGATTTCACTATAAAGCAAGGCTTCAAAAAAAGAATGTCCATAGAGTAACACAAAATCTACGTAATTGGTTGCCTTGTTCACCACCAACACACAAAACCCTGAGTGACCTTTGACCCCCAGTTTTAAAGGGTCAGAGGTTAATTTTATGGAATGCAGAAGAGAGAATAGAGGTGAAGCTCTCTCACAGCCTGCAGTTCTCATACCTTGTTCTGGTAGTTGATGAGAGCTCCAGCTGATATCAGTTTCTCCACAATCTCTGTGTGACCTTTTTCAGCAGCTCTCCCCAGAGGAGATGAGAGACAACCAACCTTAACAAAGAAAACAGGAATCACTGTGAGTAAACAAGTCACTCACAAAGAGTACTGTTACACAAATTCAACATTGACATAATAAAATGCACTGTTCACCCTCCATAGTCGACTTAAAAAGAACTAATAATTATATGCTAGAGTTACTGGCACACACAGAAAACTTGTAAAATTTCAGTTCGGTGCATTTGTGAATTATTGCATGTGTGAGTTAATAATTACCAGGGAGACCAGGGAGAAAAATTCAGTTAAACAGGAATCATTGTGAGTAAACCAGTCACTCAAAAAGAGTACAGTTCAATGGCTACATAATAAAGGTAAGAAAGCTACTTTTGGCACTGTTCACCCTCCATAATCGACTTAAAGAACATTATTTAGCAAGCTAACGCTAGAGTTACTGGCACACGCAGAAAACTTGTAAAAATTTCAGTTTGGTGCATGTGTGAGTTTAGAATTACGTTGGACATCACAATCTCCAGCAGTTCTCCCCAGAGGAGATGAGAGAAGATCAACATTCACAAAGAAAAAGTCAGTCCAACAGGAGTAAACTAGTCAACTAACTTAAACAAATGCAATGAATTTTTTGTGAAGGAATGTGAGAGTTACTGGCACATGCAGCAATAATTGCAAAAATTCAGTTACGTGCATGAGTGAGTATTCAGGATTGCGATAAAGATGTTCTTACATACGTACATGTACACTCTTCCTAAATGTTTTCTCGCATATTATAAGCCTACTGTACACGGATTAAAGGAGTATCTGTGCTATATTATGATAATAGAAACTCATGTGTGTACATGCTGCAGACTAAAATGCCGACTGCAAAGAGGCTGCTCCATAGTTCGACGTCACCAAAGTACATGTAGAAGAAGCTACTGCCTGTTTCTCTAGTTTGTTCTGAAGGAGGAACTGCAATTAACAATATTGCGTAACAAATAAGCTGCAAGCATTGATAATTCCACAAAATGCATGCAATGTGATCTATGTAGCAGTTTTCCTAGGAAACTTCTCTACAGAAAGGGGGCGGGGTATCAGAGGTTTTGGTACCATGTTTCTTCGCATTACTGACACACACACACACACACACCTGAATACAACCTACTACGTACAAAGCCCCTGCAGTCAACAAGCCTTGGTCTATGTGAATGTATAACGGTTTTGGAAGCTCTCACCTCCCTCTGTCAGGTTTTCTTCTTTCTCCATGTAAAGCTGGCCATACACGCGGCAACTTTGTTGCTTCAACAAAGTTGCAGCAACTTACAAAGTATTGATAAAGTGGTGCAGAACGTGTAGATGGGCCCAAGTAACTGCTTGAAGAAATGGATGGGTTTTGTACATTTCTGGCAACTACTTGCCTGACCGTGATAAAAATGCCCGTCCTGATAGACCAAGCATATCAATACTTTGGAAGTTGCTGCAACGTTTGTTGAAGCAACAAAGTTGCCACATGTATGGTCTGCTTAAAAGTGTGAGCTGTTTATATAGTTTCCGTGCCTCCAAACACACAGCTGAAATTCCACACAGAGCAAACCACAGACAGTGACAGCGTAGGGTGTACAGTACATGACAATGGACTGCATGCTGGAGACACAAGACTTGGCAATGAATGGAGGGAGGCCGTCTGGAGCATTGTATTCCCACAGGACTGTGTATATATGTCATGAGAGGGGGAGAGCAATCTCACTGGAAGCTACTCTCTACATTGGAATGAATGCTTGGCAAGCTAAGTCACCAGTTTAATCTTTTGTGCATGTTTCACGTGTGTATACAATCATGTACACATCAAGGTATGTGCAATGGCTGCAGTGGAGAGAGCGTCTGCATTACTGGTCAGTGGAACAAGGGTGTCTTCTTTGGTTTATAATGAGGCCTCATACTATAGTAAAGTAAATAACAACAACCATATTTTATACTTTGAGTGGCTGCTGATACCAACCATTTCCTCTATTCAGTCGAGGAACACTGTCCAGGAGAAGCATGTTGTTAGGTCCTTTTGGCTTGCTTGTTGTCTAGTACACATATAGATGTATGTATCAAGTAGTGATATACATGTAATATGTAAGTTGCCTAGCCATCTCTAACCCGTCACTTAAATTCTCAAGGCATATAGTGTCTTGGGTGTGTGTGTGCAAGGTATGCTGTGCTGATGTGGGCCAACAAGCCGGAAACAGCTGTCCAGAGCTCCGAATCACATGGTCTAATACCTTCATGCATGTATTATTGTTGCTTTGTGTTAGGGGGATAGCTATCAACTAGCTAGGGTATTGCATGATACATAATATCTCATTTTAACATGGCCGTCTTCTATAGATGCCTATCATTCTTCCTGTCTTCCCTGTCCATGCATAAACATACACTGATCTTCCAGAACATGGATAACTGACCGCTGTTCAGACGAGAGCCTTAAAAGAGTGTCCAAGGTCTCTGTATAGCTACTATTATGTACACATTATGAAGATTCATGAATGGCTGTCCATTACGGGTTCAGAGTAAAGGAGGAGAAGGTGCGTACATGTTGAGAGTATATGGCGAAACCTGGTAAAGCTCTGGCCAAAAAGGGTGAGGGCTTTCATCACACAAGGACGGCCAGCTCTTTGATGAGAGACTACACCGCCTCCTGCTATGTACTGGACTCCTACAGCTAGCTAATTGGTGCTGATGGAGTATACCAGTACGTTGTGGCACGCACCTATACCTGAGGGGTATATAGGTTTTAAGAAACGACGGCACCCGATAGTAGACATGCCTGAGCAGGAAGACGGGAACAAAGGAGTGACAATATGGGCGGAGGTCTGGTGGTTCATTGCTGCGTCTCCCTCGGGCAGCGCGGGCTCCGCGTCCACCTCCACGAGTCGCGAAGCGACATCCGCCGTGCCGCAGGAGTCAGCGGCGGGCGGAGCATGCACCTGGCGCTCAGTCGTCGGCGGCAGGGAGGCCCTGAGAGCAGTGGGTCTGGAAGACGAGGTGCTCTCACGGCCATTCCCATGCGAGCTCGAATGATCCACCGCTGAGCGGGAACCAGTACTCTATTCTTACGGGACCAAACGGGACGACTGCATCTATTCTGTGAACAGACGAGCCCTCAACGAGCTACTCCTGACCAAGGCAGAGGAGAGCCCTAACATTTCCATTCATTTCGAGAGCCGACTCCTACAGGCTGACCTCGAAACAAACACACTGGTTTTTAGCGACGGAGCCACGGGAAAGAAGACGGTTCAGACCGAGTTTGTTTTCGGGTGCGATGGAGCCCACTCGACAGTTCGTAGACAGATGATGAGGTGGGGCCGACTCAATTATCAGCAGGAGTACATCCAGCACGGCTACAGGGAACTCACCATGCCTCCAACTCCCAGCGGGGACTTTGCCATGGAACCAAACTTCCTCCACATCTGGCCACATCACGAGTTCATGATGATCGCTCTTCCCAATCGCGACAAGTCGTTCACCCTCACCCTCCTCATGCCTTGCAGCGTGTTTGAGTCGATTCGAAATGAAGATAGCCTCCTCGCGTTCTTTCGGCCCATTTTCCCGATAGCGTCAATAAGATTGCAGTCGAGCGTCTCTATAAAGACTACTTTGCTAACCCGCAGGGAAAGATGATATCAGTCAAGTGCTCCCCACACTTCATGGCTGGAAGCACTCTCATTCTCGGGGATGCCGCACATGCCGTCGTACCATTCTACGGGCAGGGGATGAATGCCGGTTTCGAAGACTGTCTCGTATTGACAGAGTGCCTGACAGAGAGTGGAGGAGAGCTAGCAGCAGCAGCTCAGTTGTACCAGGACAACCACTGGAGTGACACACACGCCATCTGTGACCTCTCCATGTACAACTACATCGAGATGCGCTCCCACGTCACCTCGCCCCTGTTCTTAATCAAGAAAAGGATTGACAATGCCCTCCACTATCTCTTCCCGTCTCTCTTTATCCTCTCTATTCAATGGTGGCCTTCACACGTATCCCCTACCGTCGTGTGGTGGAGAGACACAACGTTCAACAGACGGTCATCAGACGAGGGCTGTGGGGACTGTCCCTTGCCTCTCTGGGGCTACTGGGCTACCTGATCTTCAGGTTTTCTGGAATGGAAGTTGTACTTCGTTACTGCATTCTTCCCTGCGTCTTCAAATGTGTTGTTAATAACTACCTCCGACACTAATTTTGCTGCCACAGATTTAGTGTGTTTCCACTGGTATTATTGACCTTAAACACGCGTGTGCAGCGAGCTGGGTTTGGTCTGTCTGTCCATCCTGTGTGTCTGGAGGGAACACTCTCCATTTAACCTTATCATAGCTGCATCCATGCACAGACTTCAATGACTGCAATAAACTTAGAACATTTTCCCATTCACTGCTTCACAAGCTCAGGGCAGCTCACCACAAACACAGTTGACCAAAGTAACTTTATTCCAAGGTGCATGGAAAAGAGCCAAGGTGTAGCTAGCTAGCTGATGCTTACCAGCAACTTGCCCTAACCAGTATCTCAAAAAACTAATACTGTAAGCACTACTGAGGCCCTGGCATCTAGCTAGTTGGCCACTGAGCCTATAGTGTAGCAGTTACATACAGACATGTGGTGCACACGCACACATAGCATCGGTTGCACTTGTGTTTATAACAAGTTAAATAGGACCCTAGAGTAACAAACCTACTCCACTTAGGTCCACACCTATGACATCCCCCCTAAATACCTCACTGTGCATGTGGACCATAGGATTAGCATCCCCCAGGGAGCCTAAGGTAGGTGATTGTCAATACAATTTGTAAGTGCTAATTTTACATAAGAGTTGGTGACATTGGAGAGTTGGGGTGCCATACAAAGATCTTTAACCCACCATCTCCAGCTCTCAAGGCTGGGCATCTGTGTCCTACTCTTGAGCTTGTATGCTGTAGTACACACATGTATTCTGTTCCTCTAACATTAGCGCCTTGCTTAGCTGCGATACTATGTCCCGCTACTATATTTCTACGAACTTAGTCGCACAGAACCATAGAGTAGAATCAGAGACCCATACTAGTAGAAAGATGTGTGTCAACAATTACGACACATACACTCAGACCACTAGGCAGCCATATGCGTGAGGTTGTGCATGCCTCCCAAACTCTAGGACCGAACACCCTTGGCACTACCACACACACGATACAAAACACAAGACACTACACTGTACATTCTTGAACATGCGCGTAATAGTTAATAATTTACATGGTGGTTGTATGAGCATCTACCATTCCTCTGTGGCAAGCGCATCTAGCATGCAAATCACTGATATCATGGTGTAGCAAAATCTAAACCAAGAGACAGTTTGTATACCAACTACGGCGACATACAAAAATAAGCAACAACACAGTATTTAAAAGCTGTAAAAAGGAGGAAACACAGTAAGTCTGGTATGTAGTATAGTAAAAGAATAAGATACAGTGTTAATTAGAGAGTGTTCTTTCTTTTAAATATTGTAGTACTCCTGTAGAAGATAAGTTGCTGATAAAACCTATATGTAGTAGCTATAGAACCTAGGCTACAGTGTTAGAGAAGCAAGTCGAGAGACAAGTAGTTTAACTTTGAACTGCTGTAGAAGTTTGACTATTTGCTGTGACCCTTCAGCTCTTGCGAAACTCATGGTGTACGTCCATCCTGAGAGGTGAGGGAAAATTACACTCATTGACTAAATGAGAGACAGTCACACATTATTGCAGCACTAAACCTTCGATCAAATGGGTGCTGACGTCAGCAGCCTAGCCTGACAGTAGATTGCAACTCAACCATGTGCCGAGAGACAGCCTGCTAATTGAGGGCGTAGCCATGCTGGTTAGGCACGCAAGCACAGTCACCACCAACACCTGACAATCCTCTACTGATTTCAGCACTCAAACAAAGTGTGACTAACTTAAAGTCGTTAAGCCTTTTTTAATACCTTATAAGGTAGATCTTTAGCTCCAGATTCAGTCAGAGTCAACAAAATAACTACTCTACTTCCAGGTGTTCCCTTTGTAACTGGCCATATGAGTGGAAGTAAGTTTGCTCCATCCTAGCGAGAGAAGATGGAAACATTAAACATCCATCTCCTATAAACACCCCAATTTTTTGACAAGAAATGACATGTGACAGTCGCACTGATGGGGACACTCAAGATCTGCTCATCGTGACAGGTGGAGCAGTTGAGTTGGTGTAGCGAGACCAGTTCTGGCCTCTCTGACTGATTAACGAAACGTCCGATGTTGCATGAGATTGAGGTGAATGCAGTGCGACCTGTCTGTCTCAGAGAGCCTGCACATATTAATTCTCAAATTCACCTGTAATTTCCTCTCCCAGTCAATGATGTGTACCACCATTGTGTACTCAAGTGACTTAGTGTGTAGTCAGGAACTACGCTGAGGTCCAGACTGGGACCTGTCCCACTAGTGTCCACTGGAGACTCCAGACAACTCTGTACAGCTACATTGTCCAATGTCAGAGGTTTAGACATGCTGGTTCCTCACAGTTCGAAAAGTCAATGCTAGGCTTGCAGATAATTATGCGGGAAATAATTTCGAGAATAATAGCGAGTCAAGCAAAAAAGCAGAGCAGCAGAATCATAATCCGCGCATAGTAGCAAAGAAAACAACGCGCTGCGCAACAGCGCCTACGTTAATTATAGACGGGGCCGCAGTTAGTTAGTTACCGTGGACGAGTCGTCCTCTCCCGTCCTCAGTCGGTGGTTTCGCGGATTGTTGGGTGTCGTCGGGTGTCCCCGCCCGAGCATCATGGTCGAGCACGACGTCAAGCCGTGCGAGGATTGGGGTCAGGCTCTCTTCTGTACCTCTACGTCCTGCAGGCAGCGTGCGTTCCGCTGCGACTATGGCGGCTTAAACTAAAAATCATGGCCAAGCCCCATTTCAGAGAAAATTGAAGCGCCTCGGGTCCTAGCTCTTGCCTACGCGTCTCTGCGCACGACGCGAACGTGGAGTTACCGGTTGTTAGCGAACTTTGTCAATTGTGGGCTTAGAGCGCCCAAGGCGTCCTGGCGCCATGTTTTGGCCCCAGAGATGTTGGCAGGTGGACACCCCTGTTAGTAGCCAGGAAGCAGGCGCCTCTGAGCAGCACCAACAGGAAAAGGAAAGTTGCGCGCACAGGCTTAACAGTGCAAGATATAGTATGTCCTCCATATGTTGTAGGTCAGTTTTGATCAGGTTTTTGAGCACTAATTTGGGAATAATAGCAGCAAACCGTAGAATTGTAGCAACAACATATGAGCATTAAGAGAATAGAAGAATACCAAACACAAAAGTGGCATAATTATCTCAGCTAGTCAATGCCCAGAGCACCCCTATTTCCGAATTGTCAGGCAAGCAGCTCGACGCACCAACGGCAAGGCCGCAGGAAACGGCACCAGCACTTCAGCGGAGAGAGCAGTCAACCGAGGGACTCATAGCAGCAGCTCATCTATTAGAGTTAATCTGATGCTGTCTCCCTGGACACTAGGAGGCAGCGGCGGTCACTCCGTCTACCGAAAGAAGAAGCATGGGAGAGGATCCTCAAAAACGCTTCAAGCTGCCGACGCGCTACCCAGCAAAAGTTTGGAGTGGTGGTGCAGACGGCTTCTCCTCTTCAAGACCCACGGCACCCACGTTGCCGACCCTACAGCTCAACAGAAACGACGTACCCGTAGATGTGGCTATGTTAGTCCTCTCACAACTGAAGGAATACTAGATTGGACGAAATCTACCCAGTTACCAACTAGTGCAGATTATAGTGAGGTATATACAAAGGATATCTCAGTTCCAGCCTACAGTGAGCTAGAGTGATGGCCCATCTGGAGGATCTAGTAACACCAGGCCAAACTTGGACACTAGAATAATCTCCAGAGGCTGTCGTGTGATTGCAGCAGTGCCCTGGTCTGCCCCATTTCAGAAGAGGTCCCAGTGAGAATCATCAATACCACTCTGACCTGCCTTATCTATGCTGGTAAACCAGTGGCAATCCTGGAACACACCTGAACCAGGATTTGTGTCCCAGTGGAGTTTCGCACCGCTGATCACGTCACCAGGAGGTCAGTGAGACAGCAGTGGCTGGTGGTCACTCTCGTGTAGCTTATGTAGTCCGCCAGGGTACACATGTAACACGAATATCTACTGACAGCTGGAAGCCATCTCGGAGCAACAATATGCATGAAGCAAACATGATATTACCAACAGTGCAGCATTGACTAATACTGAAGATGGTCTAAAGCATTTTAACAGTTTGAGGCTTTTGTACGCGATCACACCACTTCACCCTGTGCAATCCCTGAACTATAGGTTCCCGTTTTCTGTTTTCTATTTCAGAGTAGGCACAAGACAATGCAAATTTTATAGCAGTAAACACACACACATTCGAGGATAAAAATTGAGCCATCAGAAAGACACTTCATGCACATCAAGGTCATCGATCGACAGTACCCACTATGTGTATACTTACTTATTCTCTAACTCTCACAGAAGCTAGCAATAATACTGAGGTAGGAAGGCAACACTGGATCACATACTCACTTTTTATGTATCATCTGATGCTACCATGGTATATGATACGACCGACTCTGGTCGAGGTAACCCCTTGCAATTAGCATAATTGTGATTCGATGTTTACTTCACTTTGTGCAATAATATTTAAACGTTCTATTTAGGTATTGCTGGCTCAACGTCGATATGTGTTTAATGGCAGATAACCATCTGTAGTGCTAAATTGGTGGTTTCACTATTAGCGTGTTGCACATTGTGGGGTAACAGAGAGAAGGAGATGCATACACACACTCCAGACATAGTACCATAACCCTCTCTGTTCATGTGCCAAAGGTTTCCTCAATAAAACTTACTGTGCAGGTCAGATTAACATTTGCTCCATTCTTCAACAGAACATCAACTGTCTGCTTGTGTCCATTCTGACAGGCCATATAGAGTGGAGTAGCACCATCCTGAGAATAGGAGAAAGTGTGACAGAGAAATATACAGGAGATATCAAATGTGACATAATTGTGCAAAGAGATGTCAAGAGAGAGCAGTCATACAAACCCTCATACAAGAGAAATACAAGCATGTTCATATTGGTTGTCACTCCATTTTGTCCTATTTTTAAATTACAGTGGTTTTCTGTTGCCATGCAATAGCACCTAGCACCACAGACCCACACATAGTGGCTGGAATTATTAGAACACATGATGCAGTGCATTTGTGTGGTTTAGTCTTAGTGCGGGAGGAGGATTTAATTAGGGATGCCATTAATTAGGTAATGCATGAGACTTACACTAGTGCATTATATAATCGTTAATTCTGTCTGAGGGCACTAATTGGAACCGCATAATATTTGTTCTGAAAATATTAGTGAAGCATGTAGTCTCTGCCAATATGATTCATGGCCAATTATTGAAACGCTTGCCCTTCGTTGACAACGTCAGTGCATTAACAACTTAATGCACACTTTTCAGTGCATTAAGCAATTTAAAAAGTGTGCACGTGACAAAATTGATTGGCTGAAGGTCACATGACCAGCACTAAGTGCGAATAGGTCCACTCAGTAGGGCTGTAACATCACTAACCATCATTATAGTGAAGTACATAGAAATGCTGATCTGAGGCCACACACATCACAGTTGACTACCTATCTCTTACCACCCACCGTTATCACTTCACAGGCCACATAAAGAATAAAGAGCCTACGTACTGATACTTTAACCTAGTCATTCTTTCGAGCGGAATTTTCGGTATATATATCGTTCGTACGTCATGTAAGTGTGCATGTGCGGCTTTGTATGCGCTTCTTTTTATCCGAAACTATTTCCAATTTTTTACACCAAACGGTGCCTCGCGATATGCGCCGATCGATCTAGCTAGCGAGAGAACTCTCCTCTCCATCGACAGCATGCGCTGTAACCTTGGGTGACTGACCGAGGCTGTACCTCTTCTCCCAATCTTCATGGTTCCAAGGTGCCAATAGTAAAATACGCTAGGATTGCTCATGCACATACTGCTGCATCCAGTTGCCTGGTGGACCACGACTGATGAGCTGAAAGCGTAAGGTAAGTACCGTTCTGCTCACCTGAGTCACCGTTCTGCCAATGTACAGTACGCATGTAACGACGATAGGTAGATCTGTCTTGCTTCACGAAAGGAATGCTGTGCGCTGACGGCACGTTATACAGCCCGAACATCACGGGCAAATCCCAAGTTGGGTCGCTCCCACTCGCCAACAATGTTCAACATTTCCACTAGTATAATATATCCATGGTGTATCAGTGAAGGATCATTACTATAGCAAGTGCAGAACGAGAACGAAAGCAAAAATTTTACACACACCACAGTCAACTACCCGTCTCTTACCACACACCATTATCACTTCACAGGCCCACATAAACAATAAAGCACAACTGCCTACGTATACCGATACTCTAAATATATATCCATGGTGTATCAGTGAAGGTTCATTACTTTAGCAAGTGCTGTACTGGAATGAATACAATGCAACAAATTAAACGTGAGAGTCACTCACGAGCTTGACACATAATTGCGAATCATTATTTCATCAACGTAAAACGTATGTGAGACGGTGACCTCCTCATTGTTCTCGGCATAATGTTGGACGACTAAGGCTTTGCTCACTAATCCCTGCACAGGGTTATCACAGAAAGAGACACTCAATCAACATATTATTCACTGCTACTCACAATACATTCCACACCACCATGCTTCACACTTGCTTTGCTTTCATACCTCACTTTAATTCATACATGTGGATGCATAATACTTAGTGAGATTACGCGTCTTTAGTGCTTGTAATTACCCCGGGCCACTCCTATAATTATGTTCAATTATGAATTCCTTTGTCCCACACAGAGTGGGATTTGCCGTTGTGTATTGTGCTGTTTGTAAGCAAGTAGTCTCCATGAGGGTCTTTACCATTATATCAGATGACACACTGATGCAACAGAGACAAAACAAAATTTAAGCGTTGCAATGTGTATGCCGTGCACTTCTGACTCTGGTGTTCCCACGCCAAAATGTGCTGCATTTATTCTTGTATACAGTAAGCTGCCATCGCAGTAGACCACTCGTCAGTGTTGTTGGATGGTCCATCTTTTATTCATGTAAAAAAAGGTGGTGTCCTGGGTGTCGTTGCTATGCTTGCCTTGCACTTAACGTGTTAGTATGCATTTGTGAAGCCAAGAGCTCTGTTTGTTTCTCATAGCTACCCCACAAGTACTGCAACCCTTGCTGTGTATATATGTGTGCATAATGATAAGTGACAAGCACATGGGCTCCGAGGGTGTATCCAGAATTTCGTACATACGAAGAGTGTTCTTCTACCCATCAAGCATGCTCTCTCGAAATATTGAATTTGTGGCGAAGAGGGTGCTTGTCTTCCACGATTACATGTAGCTTCATGAAGCGCATGGCAGCATGGAGGCGGTCCAGCTTGGTCAACCTCCCCTCTGGACCAACCTTTGCTCTCTTCAGTTTCTCCATGTAATGAACTAACTGAACCACAGGGGACTGTTAGTTACTCAGATCTGCTCATGGTGACAGGTGGAGCAGTGAGTTGGTGTAGTAAGATCAGTTCTAGCTCTGTGACTGACTGACCAAGGCAAGGAAACACTTAGAGATGTGGCAAGGCAGCTGCGCCTTCAAAAAATTGTCATACTCCTTAATTAAAAGCGCTAATTGTCATACGTCCTAATTAAAAGTGCTAACATCATTGGACTTGTCGGAATTTTTCTGTTCTGACCATATGCCTGACTGCGTTCTAAACCTTATCAGTCAAAAGTTAGCTATATTATTATGTCCCACAAGAAAAGTATGCCTAAAAGGATGTGGTACCTGTATCAACATATGACTCAGGTGAACCCAAATACCCTAAAGTGATATATGCTAGGACAATAGCAATCCTCTGATTAACTAATCAGATATAAGAACTCACTATAAAGTAAGGCTTTAAAAGACAATGAGAGTAACACAAACATGTACGTAATTTGTTGCCTTGTTAACCACCCACACACAAAACTCTGACTGACCTTTGACCCCCTAGTTTTAAAGGGCAGAAGTTACTTGCAATAATTTTTGGAAACCAGAAGAGAGAGAATAGAGGAGAGGCTCTCTAATTGGCTGAAATTCTCATACCTTGTTCTGGTAGTTGATGAGAGCTCCAGCTGATATCAGTTTCTCCACAATCTCTGTGTAACCATCTTCAGCAGCACCCCCCAGAGGAGACGAGAGAGGATCAACCTTCACAAAGAAAACAGGAATCACTGTGAGTAAACCAGTCACTCACAAAGAGTACGGTTAAATTGATATTGACATAATAAAGCTACTTGTGGCACTGTTCGCCCTACATCAAGTGAATGCTAGAGTAACTGGTGCATGCAGAAACGTAGATGCATGCGTGAGTTTAGAATTATGTCGGACATTATAATAACTAGGATCCCTTGCATGGTCCTAGGACTGCCAATGGCCTGACAATGTGGTGACTAGATCACTGGGCATAATGCAGTGTTGCAGCCGGACATGAACTGTGCAGTTTCTGTACACAACTGTTAGACTCCTACGCTACCATATATACCCTGTCCAGTGTTCTCTTTGCACAATGCAGTGATCACATGCTGCCTTGAAGGGCTCTGTAAGTTACGTATGAATACATAAAACCCTCGTTCCTCGACTCACTCTACAAAAGCGAGGATACTTTCAAATGAAGGTATTAGACAATGTGATGCCAAGAGAAAAAAGATGCGGAGCTCTGGACAGCTGTTTCGCAGCAGGGCATCTACCGCAACTTCTCTCTCTGGCATCACGAGTTTATAAAGGATAACAGGAGAGCAGCACTTGTGGTTCTGAGATTCATCCCCACCAGGCTTTGCCACTGGTATGTGCTGCTGACCATGGCCAGACATTCGTGGTTTGGAACCTAGGACCCTCCCCACTCCTGCTGGTCAAGGCCAACCTCCAAGGGAGGGGGTGTGTGGGGCATTGTCACCTCAATTCTCTTCGCAAGGGAGAGGGTGTGTTGCTGTCAACGGAGTCTAGGTCACCTATATACAATCATACTACTCTTAATATCCTCTGGCTCCCCCTCACTTTACAGAGGGAGACTGGGTACAACACTACCTCTCCCCCGTGCTCTGTGTGTCCACGACCTAAATCCCACTGCCATGTATATACTTTCTGAAACAAAAGAAAATTGTATCAAAACCTTGAAAATTTGCCCCTACGAAGGTATATTGCTGGCATCATCTATACATGGAAGACCTTCATTGACAGCATACTG